TTCTTGTCAATGTAGACTTGTCAATTATGTTTTATGTGGGATGTAAATAGAGATACTACAGCTGATGATGATTCTTACCATGAAATCCTCTTAGAAAGAAGTGATCATATAGTTCATGTTCAAAGGTTTAAATCAATCGCTCTGGGGAAAGTGGTTCTGCATTGTAACTAGCCATTCCCTCTCACTCCACGCTTATCCATTATAGAAAATATCCATAAGCCCGTGCATAGCACACATATTGGTGTGTGTGTCTGCATACAGTGGGACATTCAAAATATTTCAGGTTTACACAGGAAGCTTTGTGGTTGCTCCTTATCCTCCTTTTTTTTTATCTTTTCGCCAGTCAGGCACCCAAAATAACTTTAAAAAGTTTAAAACACACAGCTAGGAAAAATCCCACATCATACAAAAGTGAAAAATATGATTAAACTGACAATAGAGCTAAAAGCAGTTAAAGATACGACCATTAAAAAGAGAGCATCAACAAAAATAATACAGCCACTCTGAAAGATCCAGTTTCAAAGGCCTGCCAGAGCAAAACAGTCTTTACTTGCTTATAAAAGAATAGGAACCAGTTAACCTTTATAAGAACAATGTTCACACTCTGTGGTAGCCACCAAAAATGCCTTTCGTGCATGCTTTTCATGATCCGTGGCAATTCCGGCAGCAAATGTGATGAGGTCCTTAGACTGATAGATAGTAGAGATGTGCATTTTTGTTAGTCCTCATAACTCGGAACAAATTTGTTAAATTTTACTTACAAGGCAATATCCAATATCATTTTAGTTTTGTAAATCTCGGAAGACTATCAAAGTCAGTTTCATATTCAGTGCAAGGAAGCAGAGCTGAAAGCAACACCAAAAGGCTGCCAAAGTTTTTGGCACAAAAACAAAGTTCCTTGGAAGCTTTTAAGGAGAGGCCTGATGGCCATCTGTTGGGGGTGCTTTGATTGTGCTTTACCTGCATGGCAAGGAGTTGGGCTAGATGACCCATATAGTCTTTTTCAACGCTATTATTCCATGATGCACAATTGGAGTGATCCTTTTGTGTGGGAGGGAGAATGAAATTTTAAGAATTTTCAGGCAGGTTCTTAAGGACTGCATGAGGTGACTATATTTCTTCTTTCTTCATTCCCTTGGCAAACGAAGAAAGAAAGGTTGGAAGGAGATGGGGTGATACTACATTAAACAATTTTTCAATATTCCTTCTGAATATTAATTCATTCTGCTATAGTTGGATTTTAACCCTAATACTAGGGGGAGAGAAGTGGGTTGAATGATATGGCCCAGACCTAAGACAAAGGAGTTCAGCCCAAGAGGCAGGCAAGTCATAGTTACCACAGGACAACAGCACCTTTGGCTGTGACTTATCACTTTGATGTTGCTCCTCTCCCAGTGCTCTTCTGGTGCAAAACAGCATGAAAAGTGTTTCTTTTACCAACACAATTAATCTGTTAATGACGACCTTTTGTAAAAGAAACACCTTCCAACAGTCTTCCTCCTTCTTTGTGCCAGAACACCAGAAGAAGATGACTTCATGTGAAAAGTGTTACAGTAAGTTGCAACAGGATCAAGTATATCTGTGTGTGTTAAAGAAAACCTTATGCTGTTAATTATTATGTGCAGCTGCTAATGTAGGTCAACTAGTAAGTTTGGACCACATCCGGCGGGGGTATAGCTGTATGGTTTTTAGAATACGGTTCAGCTTATGCTCTGAGGCATTTTGATCAACAATTTCTTTTGCTCTCTCATTCAGATGAGGATGAAGAAGCCTTATTCTATATTGCTTACAAAGTCTATGTAAGTTTGTTGCACTGTTTGTAACATTGCAAGTTTATGTTTTAACTTTGCTGATAAGAGTAAAGTTTTTCTGTTTTTTCCCTCTTGTCTGGGTGCAACGTTATTGCGTCTTCTGCACTGGACTTGACTGAAATACACTTAGCACAATAAAAAGTCCCGCTGCTTTATTGTTAATTGTGTTTTTCCTGTTTCTGTGATGAACTCCATTTTCTCCAGTTGTAAGATCAATATGATTTTTTTCCTCTAATGGTGGTGAAATTGATCCAACAGCAGTCAGATCATTATTTCACCCAGTTCTGAGTCTCAGCCATTAACAGAGCTATATTAAGGCATATTGGTGAAGAAATGTACAGCTTAGGTGCACAAGTGATTATTTGCTGATAGAGGGCCACAGAGGTAGAGTCAGCTAATTGGGCTCTCCCGAGCAATCCCTTCTTGTATTCTTTGCTCCGTTGCTTCCTTCTCTCATAAATCAACACAGAAATGTGGTGGCTGAAAGATTGTATGTGACTTTCTAAGTATTTCCTCACTAGAGACCCCAGAGCCTTTCGTCTTTCTGAAAACAATTGCCTCTTAAATGGGTGATCACATCCAGGGGGTAGTTATCCTTTTTATTGCACTTTTGAGTTCTAAAAGGGCACTTAAAATACAAAAGGGTTTCCATTCATGTTCAGTTTGATAATTACAGACAGATAGGTAGATGGTTAGAAAATGGGGTGCAGGCACACTTCTGTCCCTCTGCAATTGCCAATCTCGTGATACATTGGTATTCTCCAGTCTGATTTCTTTCCACATATGTTCCACTGTCTCTTATCCATATTTTGAAAGGTAGAAGATGTCCCTCCCCTTGTCTCCCACTCCACCAATGTGCATTTTGCTTTAATACATTGTATCTTCCCTGAGCATGCCCTTAGTGATAATGCCAAATGCTAGATGTAGTTCGCAAACAACCACTAATCAGCCACATGAACTTACTTGCTAATTTATTTCACTATCCAGTGGTCTCATTGCTTTGCTCTTTGATTGAGATTAGCATTTATTTGTGTTTTCTCTTCCATTGTGTGCTGACCAAGGTGCTGATTGTGAGACTTTCATTGAATATTCTGTTCTATGGAAACCTTCCTATGTTCCATCTATCTGCCTATGTTCCAAGCAAGACTTACATCCTGTTCATTTCTGGAACAAGAGATACTTCATGTTCTCATACCAGTACAATACAATTCTGGAAAAGAAAAACCATGGGTATTAATTTGTAAATAAGGTTGGTGATTCTGTATACCCAATAAGTGGTCTCTCAAAGGGTATCAAATCATATAGGGCTCCTATATGGGGTTTTTTTCCGTGTCAGGAGTAACTTGAGAAACTGCAAGTCGCTTCTGCTGTGAGAGAATTGGCTGTCTGCATGGACGTTGTTCAGGGGATGCCCAGATGTTTTGATGTTTTACCATCCTTGTGGGGGGCTTCTCTCATGTCCCTGCATGAGGGTCTGGAACTGACAGAGGGAGCTTATCTGTTCTCTCCCCAGATTTGAACCTTTGATCTGTCTGTCTTCAGTCCTGCCGGCACAAGGGTTTAACTTATTGCACCACCAAGGTCTCCTATATAGTCTTTGTGATTCTATCATGATGGCAGGCACACATAAAGAACACCACATGCAATAGAGCTTTTGTCATTTATCCATTACCATAGCAGACAAAGGACTGCACATGTTCAGTGACAAGCTTTGAGTCAGATTCTAACTAAATTTGAAGAAACATGTGTTGTACACAGGATCACAGAAAGCAGTCCATCCAAGACTAGGATGCAAGGAATGGGTTGGCATGCCACTTTCTTAGTATGTTCTTTACAAATATGTTAGTTTGGATGTTAATTCATTTTGGTTTTAATGTCAACTTTTTTGTATGTGCTTAACTGTACTCTTTTAAATGTGGACGCTCCCTTGAGTTAACTGGATGTACTGGATTGTGGGTTGATTTCTGCAATCTTAGTGACACCAATTTTTTTTCACAATAACTGATAGCTTATTTCTTTAATTTATTCCTTTGGCACATTTCAATATGGCTTCCAATATGAAATATTCCATTTCAAAATGTTTAAATAGTATACTTAGATAGAAATAGGTCTGGCAAACACATATTTTCTTTTTTACCCTTTCCTGACGACATTTTATTTTCACGCAGTAGTGGGAATTGCATCGTTTTCCACAAATTTTGAGGGTAGTTTTTCCTCATCTATTTCTTGTTTCCTTCCTTACTCATGACTGTTGTGGACTGAAAGCAGTGGACACTAGCAACAAAGCTCTACATGGCATGTGTTGTTTGTTATGTAATTTGGTCTTGCATGCATTTGTTGTTATTAAAAGATAATGGGGTGGGGGGAGGTTGCATTTAAGAATACAATATATCTTTATTCCCTTATCCACTGCAGTCTCAATGACAATCTTACTATCTACATACATGCTTTTATTTGCAACGGGTACAAAGTGCTATACCAGTCTGGCCCTTGAGATGATGTTTTACTATAGCTCCCCTAATTGATCACCACTGGCTCTGCTGCTTGGGCTGATGGAAATTGCAGTCCAACGTCATATGGAGGACAGAACTTTGTTCACTTATGTTTGACATCTTCATGTTCTAATCTCTTCCACACTGTGCTATATAACCAGGGGCGGCTCAACCCATTACGCAAAGTAAGCATTTGCAGTATAGTTTATTTTGCCCAGGGGCACTCTTGAGGTGCTCTTGGGGGGAAATAGATCTTGACATATGCGAATTGTAGTTACTGGGATGTATAGTTCACCTACAATCAAAGAGCATTCTGAACTCCACCAATGATGGAATTGAACCAAATAAAGCACACAGAACTCCCACAATGAACAGAAAATATATATCAGTGATTGGTTGGGGGTGGGGGGCACCAAAATACTGTTTGCTTAGCATTGAAAATTACCTAGGGCCGCCTCTGTATATAACACTAAATCAAACTGTGAGTTGTGGCTGTACAATGCCATGAGAGAGGTTTTTCTGTAGGAAACAAAAATATCTCTCTACCTTCTCTCCTGAAACATCCCTCTATTGTCTTAGAGATCTTATGCCCTCCAGCTTTCACCCCATCTGTGAGTGAAAAACAGTTTTTGCCTAAGACTTTCCCCTTTAATCAATCTTTGAAAAGCAAGCCACATGACACAATATTAGGGTTAAATAAAATTTTATTACATGCTGCCTAAATAAATCAATGCAATAGGGTGTGCTGCCTAATCAGCATTGGAGCCACACACTCGACCGTAAACTCTAGATCAGCGTAACAGCTTATAAATCTTGAGAGCCTTTCTGTTTTCTAAAGCCAAAGGTTTTATCAATAGAGATCATTATTTAAAATGCCCAACAGGCAAGGGTCTAAAGCATATGAAAGCAAAAGTGACACAAACAAAAGAAACAGAGAGCTTCAGCCAACTGGGAGCAGGAGAACTGAGTTTTACTTTTAGCCATTAATCACCGGCACCTCCAATGCTTTCCCAGACGTGAAATGTAAAACATGAAACAAAGGTTAGGCCATCATTGCCAGAAGCTGCATACATTGATTAGCATCTTTAATGCATTGGGGCTCATTGTGTGGAAGATTAATAGCCACCTAAGCCAAGACATCAAGCACAGGAAATACCTGGAGAGTACACAAGTGGCATGTAGTGTGCTCCTTAAAGGCACTCAGGGTTCTTGGAAATGCCATGCATCCTGACCGACGTGGGCCAGACCAGGTTCATTTCCCACATTGGTTGTGTATAAGTCAGGGAACATAGTGGAATCCAAAGGCATAGAAGGATCAGCAGCATCCAAAGAGAGGAAAGGGCCCTGAGTGGCATGGGGAGCCATAGTAGCCTGGGCTAACCCTGAGAGTCCTTGGCTCTGACCAGCAGGGTTGAACAGGTGGCTGTTGGGATTTGGCAAAGCACCACCCTGGGTACCGTCTAAAAGGACAGCATTGTTCCCCTTGCCAGAAGGATTGGCCCCAGCATTAGCCCCTCCTTTTACGTCAGGCTGTTCTGTTATTCCCAGCTGATCATCTTCAACAGTGTAATCGCCAGGCTGGTTGAGTGGTGAGTTTCCAAATCTAGTATCCATGGGAAAGAGATCAGGACCTGCTGCCCGGTAGGCTGGCGCACCATATCCACCACCCTAAAAAAAATACACACATATTTTAAAACAAGACAAAATAATAAAACTGATTTAGGAAAAAAGTGTGTATTTTTTCCCCAAAGTTGGACTCTCTAAATTACTGGTTCCTACATTAGGGCTCTAAGAAATTATTGGACTATATCTCTTAGCCATACTGTCCAGATCATCTAAAATATGTTGCCCAACAATATTTGGGAAGCTAATTTGTGGAATCACTTTTTTATATAGATACTTTTGTTAGTAATTCTATTCACACCAATGGTACAACACTAGAGTAATAATAGTATTCAGGGATAGGAATACTTGGTCAATATGTAAGTACTAAGGCTGTGTGTTGATGAAAAAATGTTTCACAACTCATTACAAAATTAAGGAGTGCTGACGCTTCATTTCTAAAGTGTTTCTAAAGTATAATTAGTGAAAATGTTGATACAATAACGAGAGTAAAGAAATTCTCTTAGGGTTTATGTCTTAATTGTTAATTATGTTTTTAATATAATTATATTTGATTACTCCTATTCTTTTTTTAATTTTGCTGTTAATTTCACTTTTGTTATCAGGTTACGGTTATTATTTTGCATTATTTTGCATTATTTTGAGGTGTTTGTATTCACTTATGGGCATTGAACATTTTGTGTGGGTGTGTGTGTGTGTGTGTGTGTCTAAACCACCCTGAGTCCCCATGGGGAGAGAGGACAATCTATACATAAAGATGATGATGATGATGATGATGATTATTATTATTATTATTATTCTAAGTGGGAGAATGGCTAGAGTCCATATTGATGTTACAAGACTAGAATCTGCATAATTCAAGTTGAGTTTCCCTTATATGGAAAAGGGAAGAATGGGAAGAGAATGAGGTTGAGTTGACATCTGCTTTTTACAGGGGCCTTGTGTCATCTTGGCTAAGCAGATTGGGTCGCACAGTCAGTAGGATAGGTTTTGCCCCCCACAAGTTAATAAACTTTGGGGCAAACGTGTGCTCAATTGTATATCAAAGAACTCTCAACATTGCTGCACAAAATGATCTAATGATCATAGCGCAAGCTAGAGCCACTCCATAACTGGGCAAATTCAAATGTAACATGGGCATGGAAACTTATCTCTCTTTTATACTTCCACTATATATTAGAAAACTTTTTACCCGGGCTAGATTTGAGCAGCTCGACATTAAGTCCAAGTTGGGACGACATCAGAATATTCCCTACATGAGGAGAACCTGTGGGTGCCATGAGGTAAATGCAGAAGTGGAGGACTCAGAACATTTTTTCTTAAAATGTCCCTATTACAACAGGATCCGGTCTTACTATCTAAAGCCTCTGCTGGAGAACCATACTTATTTAGAGGAAAAATTGCACATCCTCCTACAGGGTTCAGATAAAAACTCTATTTTAAAATTGAGCCTTTTTACACAAAAAGCGCTGGCCATCCGGGAGAAGATGGAAACAGAGAGCGGTGATCTTGCTACCATCAACAAAATCCAAATTTAAAAATTTAATATGGACATGCCAGTAGTTTTACCTTGACTCGCCCTTGCTCAAAACCTAGTTTAAGGAAATAATCAATTTCTATTTTTTTTTATCTTGTAGTTGCACAATCATTTAGGAGTGGGTTGACAGACCAGTAGGCCGGGATGCCTTGTATTCATATATGGTTTTACTGTATGTATGGGCAAGTGTGTATGCTTTGTATGTTTTGCATGTTTTGATATGGTCAGAATTGACTAATCAATAAAGAATTGTTGTTGTACAGAGGCCTTGTGTAAGTAGAGTCCTGCCCCTCTTTCCCCTCTTATGAAGCCGTTAGGGCTTGAGTAGGCATTGGATGTAGTGCTAGCCCCCTTTCTTTCCAATCCTCATTCATTATATATATGCAAATACAGGTTTTCCAAAATCCGAAATCTGAAAAACTTCTGGTCCCAAGCATTCTGAATAAGGATGGTCCAACCTGTTTTAATGGAAATAATGTGGAAACCTGGATCTCTCCTTACTGTACATGATCACTTGCAGTATAAGACTTAAGGAACCTTGCACAGAAACCAATAAAATAGCTAACTGGTTTGCATTTATGGAAGGAATAGAGCCCAACCAAATGCTGTTGGAGTACAACTCATATTTTCTCTGGTCATCAACCATATTGGCTGGGGCTGAAGAGATTCAGATAACAATTTTTGTAGATTTCCTCTGGCTGAAAGGGCTGTTGAAGAGAAATTTTTATACCTTATTACACTGTAAATAAATATTTCTGTTCACAACCTACCTGCATTTCTTCTGAGCTTACTATTCCTAGTCTGGCAGGAGCAGCCTAAGGGAACATTTGAACAAACTGAATCATTCGAGACCAGTATATCACATACAATTGAACAATCATTTCATTTTGTAACAATATAGATCCCTTGTTTCACTGGATGTAATATATGTAGAATTTCTATATAATTTGCCAAAACTTAAACATTTTAAGAGTTATTTAAAGACTCTTGCTCATAAATAATACACAGAATTGCCATACTAAAAACTCAAGATGGTTCTTTAATGTTTGTGTAGGAGAGGTGAGTTCATCAGCGTTGACTTCTTATCTGTTTGCATGTGAAGCAGCAAAACCTGCTGAAAATCCCTCTTCTACACAACCATTAAAAGTACAACACCTGCCACTGTTTTTCAAACTGACAACCATAAGAATTGGTGAATTGGTGTAAATCAGTGGTTCTCAACCTGGGGTCCCCAGCTGTTTTTAGCCTACATCCCCCAGAAATCCCAGCCAGTTTACCAGCTGTTAGGATTTCTGGGAGTTGAAGGCTAAAAACAGCTGGGGACCCCAGGTTGAGAACCACTGGTGTAAATGAAAGGTCAACTGTTAGAAAATTATTTTAAAGCCTAAAGCTGAAACAGAGTAATTGCAAAAAGGTGTAATTGTCATGGCAATGAACTTATTTAAAATCATTTTGTAACTTAATTTAATCCAATCTTACCAAATTTATGATTTTATCAAGTTTTAAGTGCCTAAATGTATTTTAGCTAACTATTACAGGCATGTTAGGATAGGGATTTGTGTTAATTGTGTCTTTGTATACTTGTCTTTTGTCTTTTACTGTTGATATGATCAGAGGACTAATCAATAAACAAAACTTTCAAATTAATTTTTGAAGACTTCTACAAAATTTAAATGATTTAACCTGTGTCTATCTACATAGCTTTTCCTATATGTATATATATGTGTGTGTGTATCCTTAAAGTTGCTCGCTCTCCCCCCCCCCCCCATATATAGTTGTTCAGTGACCAAAGGCATCTAATCCTTTTTCTATGTGTAGAAAATGGGGAGATTTCAAATTTTAAAGAAAAATGTGCTTAGCTCAGCTGTTGCTCTGAGGGCTCAAAGTTTCTGGCTTTGCTCCAGAGTCAGTTCTGGGGAGAGGTGTAAAGCTATAAAGGCACATGTAACCTTCAACACAGAAATAATCATTTGAAATATTTCACGGTGAAAGGACTAGGAACATAACACACATCTTGGTCTTGTATTTCTGAGTGGATTTTTCTAGCATCCAAAACTCATTATTCCAACTTCATGTAACCTGTCAAGAACCCAGGATGCTCTCAGTATAATTTATGCTGGATGTACTATATGTATAAATCCAGTGATGTCTGTTTAATCATATCTTTCCACATCTGTTCTGGTAGACCAGAGTTTCTCAAACTGTTCTCCTCCAAATATTTTGGACTTCAGCTCCTATAATTCCTAACAATTGGTAAGGTGGCTGGGATTTCTGGAAGCTGAAGTCCAAAACACCTGGAGGAGCACAGTTTGAGAAACATTGCTGTAGACTATACTTCAGGTGCCTATTCATCTCTATGCTTGTCACTGATGGGTTATCCACATTGCATTAGTTCATACCACTTCAAGGACCCTGTCTCCATTCTATGGAATGCTAGGATTTGTAGTTTGCTTGAGGTGTGTAGAATCCTCCAGTAGTGTCCGAGTTCAGTGAATCTTGTTACAGTCTTTCTTCAATTCTATATAAACATCTCCAAAAATGGGATATGTCTTAGAATCACTTGTGTATTTTATGCATTTTTGGTGGTGGTGGTGATTGTACTGATAATTCAGTCAATGATGGCAACTTAAAATTGACGAAATATAGTAGTTCTCTAGCAGCAAATTCTACATATCTCATTCTATGTATCAAATTACAAGCTCTAGCATTCCATAGAATGAAGCTATGATGGTTAAAGTATTATGGATACACAATGAGTCTTCTGACATAAGCAGTGATCAGAAAAACTGACTGAGAAGAGTCATGGGAGCATCGGAAGTGACCTGAGAGAAGGGCAGGATTTGCCCATTTGTGATCTGAAAGAAGAAAGTAACGTGTTCTATATAGGGAAGGTCTGCATAACCTATGGTCTTCCAGGTGTTTTGGACTTCAGCTTCTAAAATTTCTGACCATTGGACAAGCTGCCTAGGAATTCTGGGCATTGGTGGCCCAAACACCTGGAAGGGAACAGGTTGTGCAGATCTGCTTTAGGAACACTTTTGGAGAAGAAAGCACATGTAGAAGCAGCACATTGAATGAGACAACTTGTAAATGGGGAATGGGTATTAGAGCGAGGTCTGGTTCCTGTTCCAGTTTTGGTTGTCATATTGTCAGACAGCAAAAATTGAGATATAGCTCTTCCCTCCCCCAGCACAAAATCACCAGTTGTAAAATGGAAGAAACTTACTCCTTGGTTTGCTACGTAAGGCAAGTAATACAAACTTGGATACATCTACACAAAAGAAAGAAATAATTAACAAAGGGAGGATTTAAAAGCAGCATTTGCTTTTGTTTAATGTAAAACAGTAAAGAACATAGTATGGAATTCAAAATTGTTTTGATCAGAGCCATATCCCATCTTGGTCTGCATCCTATACTTGACAGTATCTAAGGCAAGAGTGACCAACTTGTGAGACTCCAGGTGTTGTTGTTATTGTTGTTGCTACTGCTGTTGTTGACTATTTGCAAACATTTTGAAGAATTGGCATGGTTAGGGCTAAGCCAGGCTCTCTGACAAATAATTTTGCTATATGAAAGTTTGCCTACCAAGATTCCCAGGATATGTTCCCCTTCTTGAGCTTTATAAGGCTGTTCCAGCTGCTGTATGGGGCCTGTATATACTATACACAGATACTACACCTATACTTTCAAGAAAATATAACTTCCTGACAAGAATTCCTAGATCTACAAGTAGTAGTAGAAGTCGAATGTTAGGATAGGGATTTGTATTTATTCTGTCTTTGTATACTTGTCTTTTGTCTTTTACTGTTGATATGGTCAGAGGACTAATCAATAAACAAAACTTTCAAATTAAGTTTTGAAGACTTCTACAAAATTTAAATGATTTAACCTGTGTCTATCTACATAGTTTTTCCTATATGTAAAACTGTGTTTAGCCCAAATTTCAGCAGAAGTATTTGACTTGACTCATGGGGGGCTAGTTCTTGAATGGTTGCTTTCTGAGAACAGAATTTTTTGTTAAAAGCTCATCTGCAATAAATCAGTCTGCATGTTTTAAGAGTTCATTGGGCAGGATGGGAGGAAGATCAGTATGTTGTCAATAACTTTAAGAATCAACTTACAGGTTGTTGTTGTTGCTGTTGTTGAGATGGGTCTTGTTGGGTTCCATGCAATGCTGGATAGATCTTTTTAAAAAGATGTGACAGACTTACATCTAATGCAATGTAGGGGAATATATACACAATGTAACATAAAGGACTTTGGATGTTCTATATGTTCAAGAATGCAATGACAATAAATTCTCTTTACACTAAACCTTTAACACAAGCATCTCACTTATTAGTTATTTAACACTAAATAGTGTTCATATCAGTAATCCTTTAAAATATTTTGGTATCATCATTCACTCCCACTCTGGCCTGTTTACCTACTCCCATGGGTTCACACATATCTTGCAGCTGAATTAAAAAATCGAATGTCATTTTACTTTCCCCATACCTTTGAATGCATTGATAGTTTGGGACACAGTGCAGTTTCACCTTCCCCAGATAGACAAATTAAAAAGGGCATCTTGTGCAAGTTTGGGGAGGCAATATAAGAGTTCGGTATACACCTTGGCACCTGTTTGATGAAGGATTGATCTGGAACAGCCTTTTTAGATCCAGTGACCTTAGTTTTACTATGCAGAAAAAGGTTGGCTGGGTGAGCAACTCATAACATTGGATTGCTCCTTTGGTTCAGGTATTTCCCCACCTCTTTTCATTCAGGCATAACTTGCACTAAATAGGTATTTGGGTCAAATAAATGGCCCTCGTTGACTCATCATGTCAAACAAATTGGAGATATTCGAGGACCCTTCCAGACAGACCCAAAACATGGGACTTTTCTTAGTTTTAACTGAGGCATCCAAATGACACCTCAGGTAAAACCAAATTGATCTGGAAAAAAACTAGGATTTCCCAATTTGCTCCAGATTAATTGAACACCTGGAAAGATCTGGACCTTAAGTTAATGTCCCAGATCTTTGTAGGTGAAGGCTCTGTGGAGATTTACTCCCAGGTCAATCCCCACAGCAATCCTGGTTCTTCAGGAAAGCCCAGGGTTGTGGGAGGATGTGTGGCCTTAACCCCAGGAGGAAGTGGGTTTGCTTTGTTTATGAGTTTATTTATTGTTGTATTGTTGTCGTTGTTGTTTTATTGATGTCTTTGGGCTCGGCCTCTTGTAAGCCGCACCGAGTCCTGCGGGAGATGGTAGCAGGGTATAAATAAAGGTTTATTATTATTATTATTATTATTATTATTATTATTATTAAATAAACCAGTTCCTCCTGGGATTAATGCCTGTCTGGAAGGGCCCTGAGCTGCTTCTTAGGGAAAGTCTGCTTTAGAGAAAGAAATATTTTACTTTTGTGACTGCTGTAAAAATCACTGTATAAATAACAGTTTTTTGTTCATTGTATATCGCTCAATGCTGTATTTTATATAAGTTGGATACACATTTAATATTGTATTATATAAGCTGCAAAAAACATTTACCTCTGTGATTTATGTACTACGCCTTGTAGTGGATTTGTGTTTTCTGCTTCTGGTGTTAACCAGTAGCTCTGGGATAAGATAAGCAAATGCATGAAAGGACAGCATAGGTACATGACAATGTGGACCGGAAGACCAAATTCTACACTGTAGAATTAGTGTGATTTGACACCACTTTAACTGACAGGGCTCGATGCTATGGAGTCATGGGAGTTGGAGTTTTACAAGGTCTTTAGTCTTCTCTCCCAAAGAGTATTGGTTTCTAGATTCTTGTGGGTTTTTTCAGGCTATAGGGCCATGTTCTAGAGGCATTTCTCCTGACGTTTTGCCTGCATCTATGGCAAGCATCCTCAGAGGTAGTGAGGTCTGTTGGACTTAGGACAATGGGTTTATAGACTTGTCAGCTGTGGACAAGTCTACATAGGGACCACCAAACGCAGCGCCCAAACACGAATCAAGGAACATGAAAGGCACTGCAGACTACTCCAACCAGAGAAGTCAGCCATAGCGGAGCACCTGATGAACTAGCCTGGACACAGCATTTTATTTGAGAACACAGAAATGCTGGACCACACCAACAACCACCATGTCAGACTACACAGAGAAGCCATTGAAATCCACAAGCATGTGGACAATTTCAACAGAAAGGAAGAGACCATGAAAATGAACCAAATCTAGCTACCAGTATTAAAAAAACTCTAAAATTACAACAGCAAAACAGCAGAGAGGAAACAACCAGGCACATCTTAACACCTCTCAACAAAACATTTCCCAGGCCCAGCCAGGCCTTCAAATGCTAATGAAGGTGGTCAGTTGAAACATTCACACCTAGCTCCAGCAGAGAAGAGCTCTTTGCCCCACCCCAGCCATTCCACAGATATATAAACCCATTGTCCTAATTCCAACAGACCTCACTACCTCTGAGGATGCTTGCCATAGATGCAGGCAAAACGTCAGGAGAAATGCCTCTAGAACATGGACCTATAGCCCGAAAAAACCCACAAGAACCTAGTGATTCCAGCCATGAAAGCCTTCGACAAAGTATTGGTTTCTCACTAAAGATTCCAAAGCATTGAACCAAGGCAGTTAAAGTAGTTTCAAACTACATTAATTCTACAGTGTAGATTCACCATCAGAGGAGTTGTTTTCTGTATATGCAATTAAGAGACAGTGATAATTGGTAGCTCTTGTGTCAGTAGGCTGGAGAATCCATTCCATATTTTCATCAGCATTAAAAAAGTTATCCTTCAAAACCTTGAAAGGATTCACCGTCCCACTAATAAGAAAGTCACCAGCTGCCACTGCTAATATCTTCATGTCTGAAATGAAATTAAGTAAATCTTTGTAGCTCATAGCTCACATTCAGATATACTACCCCGATCCTGGTATTCTTTTTTGTGAAAAGTAAAAAAAAAAATGTTTTAAGTAAAACTTTTGTGCATAAGTCCTAATGTGAGTTATTCTTAAGGATATGAAAGAAAAATATACATCCCTTTGCCCAAATGTCCCCAAGCATTCTTGTACAGTGGATAATTGCATTGATCAAAGAAACATTTTAAACCACTAGATTAGTAGGCAGTCAATAGCTCAGGCCTAAATCCTAATATGCCCCTTGGGCTGGATTGCTCTGAAGGACAGGGAGGTGTGAGAAATCTCATCTGTCAAGGTCTTACTGCATTCTCACCACCCAGATCGAACACAGAAACAGACACAATTTGCTGCCAAAACCCCATTTGTTTCCAATCTTGCAATGTGTTTGAAAACATACATACATTTTTAAAATGTGTAAAAACACTGCAGACATTTGTGCATTTACATTTCTGCAATATACACAAACAAGATTTGTTCCATGGGAACATGCCATTTTCCTTTAGGAAATTGCAAACAAAAATGTAGACATGTTTCCTGTTTACAGAACCAGTATAAAATGGGCCATGGATTTACAACTGGGTTTTGGATCAGTCATGTCAAGTACTTTAAAACTGACCTGATGAGTTTGTCTCTCTGCTGGCAGCGGCTGCTGTTGTGGATCAACAGCTGGTTGGGCTTCTAGTTGTGGAAACGTCTGCTGTATTGGTGGCTGAATGTTATACTGTGGAATCTGGAGTTGTCTTGCAGGAAATAGATTTGTGAAAGGTTGAAAGAAAGGTTGTTCTGGTAGTCTAGACTCTGAAAACTGAATGGCCGGTTGCAGAGACGGCAATGGAGGTGGGTGAACTGGCATGGCATACTCATACTGTGGAGTGAGGAAAGGACAAACAGGCAGAAGGCAAAGGATGAAGTCATAACAAATAACTGTGATGGGAGGGATATTGAAGAGGGTACATCCATTTAAGAACACATAGATAGCTAATAATAATAATAATAATAATAATAATAATAATAATAATCCTTTATTTATACCCCACTAACATCTCCCGAAGGACTCTGTGCGGCTTACAAGAGGCCGAGGCCCAACACATCAATAAAACAACAGCATAACAAATACAACAATAAATAAACTCATAAAACAAGCAATAAACATTAAAACAATAGCAATAAACATTAGACAATAACACCATGACACATTTAAAACTAAGGCCGGGCCAAATGTAATGATTAAAATTTTAAAATGCTGGACATGACAGGTGAGATGGATAGGTTTTTGGAGATAAGTGCGGTTTGCAGACAAACTTAATCTCTAGTAAAGTGCAATTGGGGCATGATTCTAGGAGTTTCCTATTCTGGGAAGGCACACTGGAACAACCACGTCTTCAAGCTCTTCCTAAAGACTGGCAATGTTGGGGCTTGTCTGATATCCTTAGGGAGAGAGTTCCAGAGTCGGGGGCCACCACAGAGAAGTCCCTGTCCCTCGTCCCCACCAATCGCACTTACGACGCAGGTGGGATCGTGAGCAGAGCCTCTCCGGATGATCGGAGAGATCGTGTGGGTTCATATACGGAGATGCGGTCACGCAGGTAGGCGGGGCCCAAACTGTTTAGGGCTTTGTAGGTAAGCACCTGTACCTTGAATTGGGACCGGAAAATGAATGGCAGCCAATGGAACTCCTTAAACAGGAGAGTTGACCTCTCTCTGTAAGGAGCACCAGTTAACAACCTGGCCACCGCCCGTTGGACCAGTTGGAATTTCCGGGCCGTTTTCAAGGGCAGCCCCATGTAGAGCGCATTACAGTAGTCCAATCTGGAGGTGACTAAGGCATGGACCACCCTGGCCAGATCCGCCTTCATGAGGTACGGTCGCAGTTGGTGCATGAGTCTCAATTGTGCAAAAACCCTCCCGGCCACCGCTGACGCCTGAGCTTCAAGCGTAAGTGATGAGTCCAAGAGGACACCCAAACTGCGGACCTGTGACTTCAGGGGGAGTGTAACCCCGTCCAGCACAGGTTGCCACCCTATACCCCGATCTGGTTTACGATCGACCAGAAGGACCTCTGTCTTGTTAGGATTAATCTTCAGCTTGTTCATCCTCAGATAGACACAGCAGCCAGGCACTCGTCCAGCACTCGAGGGGCTTCCTTGGAGTTAGGTGGAAAAGAGTAGTAGAGTTGTGTATCATCTGCATAGAGATGGCACCCAACTCCAAAACTCCGGATGACCTCTCCCAGCAGTTTCATGTAGATGTTAAAAAGCATGGGAGACAGAATAGAGCCTTGCGGGACCTCACAGGTCAAAGGCCAGGGGTCCGAGCAGGCGTCTCCCAGCTTCACCATCTGAGATCGACCCTCCAGGAAGGACCGGAGCCACGACAGAACCGTGCCCCCGAGACCATCCCAGAGAGTCGTCCCAGAAGGATACCATGATCGATGGTATCCAAAGCCGCTGAGATGTCCAAGAGAACCAACAGGTCACACTCCCCCTGTCCAGCCCCTGCGGAGGTCATCCACCAAGGCGACCAAAGCTGTCTCAGTGCCATGGCCAGGCCTAAAGCCAGACTGTGACTGGTCCAGGTAACTGATGTCATCTAAAAAGCCCTGGAGCTGGGGGACGACCACCTGCTCCAGCACCTTGTCCATGAAAGGGAGGTTGGAGATTGGTCTGTAGTTGTTCAGCACCGTAGTGTCAAGGGAAGCCTTTGTCAGGAGTGGTCGGACCACCGCCTGTTTTAGTCGAGATGGAAAAACACCCTGCTCCAGTGATGCATTAATGATCAACACAAACCAATCAGTCAACCCATCCCTGGCCAATTTAATTTGCCAAGACGGGCAAGGGTCTAAAGCCGACATGGTCGCCCTCAGAGCACCAAGGACCTCCTCCACAGCTTATGTGCTTGCCTAGAAAATCTCATGTTACAATACAATCATTACTCTCCATGGTGCCATTTAATTTTAATTTGGAAATGAGAGCATAATTCAGCAAAAGTTAGTGATGACTGAATTCTTCTGAAATCAACGAGGCCTTAGTTAGTGAGACTTGAGTTATAACTTTGTGGGTCTCTGTTGCTTCCATCGGGGCCTATGATTCATTTCATTCCAGACTGAGTCCTTTGCCCCTTTGTGACTGGTGACTAATCCTGGCACTCTTCTCAATTGTGTTTGCAAAAGTTGTTTAAATCACACTGAAATATAAAGTGACCTGCAAGAGTTCGTTTCAATATAGGGAGCTAAGCTATGGAAGAATAAGAAAGTATACTGCTGAAAGCTTTTCATCTATATAAATAAAAATGTAATGTTCGTTTATGATAGCATCAGAACTCAAAAACCACTGGGGGAATTGACACCAAATTTGGACACAAGACACCTAACAACCCAATGTCTGTCCTCCGCTCAAAAAAAATTGATTTTGTCATTTGGGAATTGTCATTGCTGGGATTTATAGTTTACCTACAATCAAAGAGCATTCTGAACACCAATGATGGAATTGGGCCAAACTTAGCACAGAGGGCTCCCATGACCAACAGAAAAAACTGGAAGGGTTTGGTGGACATTGACCTTGAGTTTAGGAATTGTAGTTCATCCACATCCAGAGAGCACTGTGGACTCAAACAATGATGGATCTGGACTAAACTTGGCACGAATATTCCATATGCCCAAATATGAACACAGATGGAGTTTAAGGGAAATAGACCTTGACATTTGGGAGTTGTAGTTGCTGGGATTTATAGTTCACCTACAATCAAAGAGCATTCTGAACTCCACCAATGATGGAATTGAACCAAACATGGCATACAGGACTTCCATGACCAACAGAACGCACTGGAAGGGTTTGGTGGGCATTGACCTTGAGTTTAGGAGTTGTAGTTCACCTACATCCGGAAAGCACTGTGGACTCAAACAATGATGGATCTGGACCAAACTTGACACAAAAATTCCATATGCCTAAATATGAACACAGATGGAGTTTGGAGGAAATAGACCTTGACATTTGGGATTTGTAGTTACTGGGATTTATAGTTCACTACAATAAAAGAGCATTCTGAAACCCACAAATGACAGAAATGGGGCAAACTTCCCACACAGAACTCCCATGACCAACAAAAAATACTTAAGGCCATCCAGTCCAACTCTCTTCACCAGGGCAAGAAAATGTAATCAGAGCCCTCCTGACAAAGAGCCATCCGGCCATAGATAAGGATAGATGGATATGATTCTCTCACACACACACAGATATAGTATCATAGATTTGAAAGAGCATACAAATAACTCATAGTTAAGAATGGGGAGCAAGACAGCAGGAAGTGAGAAAAATCTACCCCTGAAAAGGGAAATTCATTCCTGAAAAAGTTATTATCATGGGGGGCTCCCGGCTGGTAGTAGCACTGTGATTAACCCCACTGAACATAAGGAGTCTATATCTGTTTATGAACTGCTTGCCAAACAAATTTTCTTAACGCTGGACACTCTGAACTTGATATGTTCCAGGCTAGAATATACCCAAAAGAAACCAGAAGATACAAATTTTAATTCTGCTGAGTTTCTGAATCCCACAACTGGAATAACTCCAAAAGAGCACCAAGAAGAAACAGATAAGGCACAGCCTGAAATTAGGCAAGACCAATTATCTAGATGACACTCAATGGTAAACAAAAGAACCACAACAAGGATAACAGAACCTCGCCATTATGAAACAAAACATCTTAAATTCAATCCTTGTCAACTGGAATTTTCTATTTCACCAAACTCCATAAACTGGAATAGATGGGGTAACAAAAATCATGTATTCTACTCTCTAAGTCTTTTGTTAGACACCCAATAAGACAGATAAATCTTCATTCATTGATTTGGCTCCCCAAAAAGACAGTTCCATAAAAGAAGCCTTTACCAGCTCACAATAATGTCTTTCAATCTGTTTTCTCTTATTTGGGATGGGATAGTGGAAACTGAACTTTCAATCAATATTTAACTGTCTCTGGGTTCTTGAGGAGAATATTTCCACTGTGAAATAGAGAATGGTTGGCTGGCATTATCCATAAAGTAAGGACAGTATGACAACACATCAACCAACAGTCAATAGCAATGTTGTGGGGGCTCTATGTTCCCAAGAGATAAATGCTGTTATGTCCAATCATTAATCCAAGCTCTACTATATTTTGTGGAAATGAATTGCCTCCATAGACATCTGATCAATGGTGGGAATCATGCAGACTTTTAGATGATATTGTACTACAAATCCCATCATTCACCATCATTTCCTATGCTGGCTATGGCTGCTGGGAGTTGTAGTCCAAGAACACCTTCAATTCAACACATGGTGAACATTCCCATAACGCACAAAAATTAGCTTAAAAACTGACAATCATTTTGAAATGTTCCAGAAACCAATTAAACAATTATTCTTATCTTGATAAATATTAGTTAGGACTTTTTGTTACGTGTTATGGAACTATAAGAATTTAGATTGCCATACCTGCTGAGTTTCCTGTCGTTGGGGACCTTGTGTCATCCATAAAAATGTATGTGATGGGAGAAAACTTCTGCCCCACATGGAATGGAATGGATCATAGCTATAAGGCAAAGCCTTGGAAAAATAGACACATTTATATTGCAGTTGTAGATATGATTTTAAAAGTTCAGATGCTCAAAAGTTCAAAGAAAAATCCAGGTTACATTTTCAGACAGTGTTTAGCAGCTCTGTGTTGCACAGTTTCATAATAATAAATTTTAACAATGGGATTTCCAACTAATTTTGTTATGTTTACTTACTCAACTGTTTTTCTGCTTTTACATAGGGCCCTTCCAGACAGGCCCAAAATGCGGGACCTGTCTAGGTTTTTACCGGGGGCATCCGAATGGCATCCCTGGTTATTCCAAATTAATTAAATATCTCATTCGATCAGGGCTTTACTGAAACACCTGGGTGTAATGTGGCATCGGGCCTGTGGGGATTCACTTCTGGGTAGTCCTGGGACTACCCAGAGGTGAGTCCCTATTTGCTATCCAGAACCTTTCGGACTTCTGGAGACCAATGGTCGAAGATAACATCAACTCCCCCCCCCCCAGCCCCCAAAGTACCCCTAAAAAGTAAAAAAAACCAATCCTTCCCCCTGGTCTCTTGGAGCATCATTTCCTCATGCCAGAAGGGTATGGGGAGGACCGTAATGGCAGCTGAGTAAGTTTTTTTTTACTTTTTAGGGGTTCTTTAGAGGGGATTCAGGGTGGCTACACGTCACCATGATAGTAGCCTGGAAGGCATGTAGCCAATCTCCTTGGGAAGGCCCGGGTTTTGGAGGACTTAAAAAACCTGCTTTGGCACAGGTTTAAGTCATGTGTAGAAGCTCTCATAAAGACAGAAGAGAAAACACATTAACATTTACTGATTATTCTGCCTGTTTTTTACCCACCAAATGACCCTGGGGGGTGGCATAGGGAAACCAATAAAATCAACCTAAAGCCACATTGGTAAGCAGAGATTAAGATAGTCTAATAGACTTTCTAGACAATCACTATAGGATATTGTCACTCCAGATACAGGCAGCAACTACTTCAATGTTTGTGTCTGGTGGGCACTATAAACAAATATTTGAGGGGGCTAAGATGGATCCCCTGTGCCCAAGTTGCTTGAGCCTGGGTAATGCAGTTTGGCATGAAATCAACCAGGAAGTGGCATGGTTATTCAGATGTACCCAAAATAATGGGCTGCTTCAAAGTTTGGAGAAATCTGCAGAGTATCCAGGAAGGAACTTCTGATAACACAGTGCGTGTCCATGTTAAGCAGTGTTGGCCCATGTTATGCCAAATTAGCTCCATGCATAATGTAACAGCCACAGAGCTGATTTGCACCCCCTCTCTGCCAGTGAAATTGCACCCTAAGATTTCCAAATAGTTTCTATGTGTATTTAAAAATCAATACAACCAGGATCACACTTTGACTGTATCCATGTGCATATTTGTTTGAGAGTCCAGTTGCACTAAACATTTAAGAACTTGGATTTGATTTGAGCTGCAAATCCTGTCGTTGGCATATAAGCAAGGCACATTAATTCAGTGAGGGTGAGGCTCACATGTTTGTATCATCCTGGCATACTAGGCCCATTGGACTCTCTATGGATAGCACTGTGGCCTTTTCATTTTGATCTCTGATAAAGATGGAAATCACCCATGATCTCCAGATGCTAGATTGCAACTGCAGCATTCTTTATTATTGGCTAGATCCCTCCCATAATAGCTATTTACAAAATGCAGGCTAACCTCTACTAGGGAGGAAAACAGAGGTGGTTTCTGTGGGGCCACATCACTTCCAATTTAACTTAAATATGTTTGATGTTTACTGAGTCTTACTATCTCTAAGAGAGCAAAAGAAAGTTATTATTTTTGGAATTTCTATGATTGCTATGTATCTTTCATGCAGAATACAATTCTAGAATAACACCACAAATTAACTCTTCTCAGTACATTCATGTAGAAACAAGCTTTTTTTTTAAAGGCAGGTATTTGGAGTTAGTTGTGTTTACCTGTGGGGGAGCAGAAGGTATGTTTAAACCACCAAGTTGTCTTGTCCTCTGAAAAACATGTTTTAAAAAAGATTCCCAATGTAAACATAAATCACATTTTCTTATATCCATCTTATAACCAAATAAGTCCCATTTTAATTCTTCTTTAAAAAAAGCAGAACTGGGCCAAACCTGAGCATTCTTTTGATATGATGGACTCTTAGAATTGGAAGGGGCTCTATGGGCTTCTGGGTCCAGCATCTGCTCAGTGCAGGATCTTCATCTTAAGCATCCCCAAAGAATGAGACCTAGGCTATTGGTTCCATTGCCAAACAGCACTGGAAAAAGAGTTTCTCCTAATTTTCAATTAAAATCTACTCTCCTATGACTCAAAGCCATTAGACCTAGTCCTACCCTCTGGATAACATGCACCCTCTTCTTTCTGGTAATCCTTGGGATATTTTTAGTTCAGTCATATCACTACACAGTTGTCTCTTCACTAAGCTGAACATACCCAATTCTTCAACCCCTCTTCATAGTTTGTTCGCCATACCTCTTATCACCCCCATTGTGTTTCTCTGAATTCACTCCAATGTGTCTATTGCTTTCTTAAAACGAAGCACACAGAACTGAATTCATTATTCCAGAAGACCTGACCAGTGCAGGATATAACAGGACTAATTCTGTCTGGATTGAGGTATTCTCCTCTCCCCCCTTTCTCCTGGTGCATCATTTGTACGTGCAGGAGAACTCTGGAAGCCATCACATAGAAGTAGGGTAAGTTGTTCTGCTTTTGTATTGTGTTTATGGGGACTTGTGGGGAGCGGGTTAATTGTCCTGGGAAGTCCCAGTACCACATCTGGACCCCCACCCAGAAAGCATGCACTTTCTAGGGTGATTGTGGACAGGGCCCCAGGAACATCCATGTTTTCTAAACATGGATGCTCCTGGGGTAAAGCCCTGTTTGGAAAGACTCTTAGAGATACAATAAGATCCCCCTTAACCCATGTCCACATTTTCACTTATCTGCACCCAAGGAGAAATGGTTTCTCTAGAAATTTGCTAGGTCCTCCACAGCATGTTCTCCCTGAAACTTACCACCTCCATTGGAGGACCCAGTAAATTCCAAGATGATGCCTCTCTAGGGGCCCTTCCACACAGCTCTATATCCCAGAATATCAAGGGAGAAAATCCCACATTATCTGAGTGTGGACTCAGATAACCCCATTCAAAGCAGATATTGTAGGATTTTTTTGACATCTGGGGACCCTAAATCCCAGAATATCGAGGCAGAAAATCCCATATCTGCTTTGAATTTGGTTACCTGAGTCCACAGTGCCATATATTCCAGTTCAAAGAAGATATTGTTGGATTGTCTGCCTTGATATTATGGAATATAGGGCTGTGTGGAAGGGTCCTGGGCCTCTTCCACACAGCTGAATAAAATCCCACATTTTCTGCTTTGAACTGGAATATATGGCAGTGTGGACTCAGATAATCCAGTTCAAAGCATATATTGTGGGATTTTCTGCCTTGATATTCTTGGTTATATGGTTGTGTGGAAGGGTCTTTGGTTATATCTGCAGTTTCAGATAACTGCAATCCCGCTGCAAATGTATCTCCCATGGATATAGGGGTCTTGTACTGTATTACTTACAGCATTTGCTAATTTCAGCCTGCTTTAATTTCAGATTTTTTAAAAATGTTCCTTTTAAATCATCAAAATTACCTGCTGTTTATGAATAGCATATATAAATATAGGGGTTTATTTTTTTTTAAAAAAAAAAGAAATGAAATATATATACCTCAAGACTAATACTACCCATTCCAGGTATTCCGGCATGCTGAGGAAATAGCTGTAAACAAAAACAAAAGGAAAAATTACAAACTAAAATATCCTCTGACATTTGTTCAAACTTAGCTCCTCCACATATTTTGGACCTCATGCCCTAGCCAACTTGGTCAACAATCAGCCGTTGTGGGAGCTGAAGTCCAAAACAACCGGAGGACCAAAATTTGGGAAGCATTGCCATAAAGATTAAGGCAGAAAATAATTATCATTATATCAGGATTCCCAGTTTCAGTGCAGCCTCTCATTGTTAGTACAAACGTGGAGGGCCCTATACCAACTGGTTAAAACATGAGAATATCCCAAAATGGTAGATTAAATGGTTAAAAATTAACCTGATGAGCATACTTTGTCGTCATTCAAAATAATGGTGTTGAAGGTCATTATTTCATGGCTGATAATTTATTGCTTTTATAGATAATTGAGGGGATTGGGGAAATTTTGACCATTTTAATAGTTTTAGTTGATAATTTTAATTTGACCATTTAAATAATTTAATTAATATTTTTAAATTAAACATAGTGTGACATAAATGCCTTCCTTGTAATTAATGTGTAATTATAATAGTATAATTAGGTTTATTCGATTATTTGTATTTGGTCCTCATTTTGGTGTTATTTTTTCTTTTGTCACAAGTTTATGGTTATTATTTTGTATTATCTTGTTTATTTTTAAATTGTTGTATTGAGTTGAGGCAGTGAATGTTTGCAATTTTTTTGGCATGTAAACTGCCCTTGGGGAGAGAGGGTGGTCTATAAATTAAGCATCATCATTATTATTATTATTATTATTATTATTATTATTATTATTTAACATTCTATAAAATGAATTAATTTTGACAAATTGTTTTTGAATTAACATTTGGATGTATACTTTAACTCTTCTGAAATATGCAAAGTCCTAAATGAGATTTAATTTTGTTCCATTGATTTCAATGGACCCAAATCTTGAGTAACTTTAGCTGGCTGGATTAGGACCTAAGAAAATGCCAATGACCCTCCATTACACTCAGGTTTTCCCTGAACTAATTCAATGTTATCAGTGAAAGGATTTATGAATTTGGTGATGGATATGGAAAACAGATAGTGAAAACAATTGGTAATTTCATCTCGAATGTTTTATAATGAATAGTTTATCAAAACTTCTTTCTTAATATGAATGTTTTAATAATGTTATTACCCAAAAAGACTTCAAATAATGACTTTAATATAGTTGTTGTAGGTTTTTTTCGGGCTATATGGCCATGGTCTAGAGGCATTTTCTCCTGACGTTTCGCCTGCGTCTATGGCAAGCATCCTCAGAGGTAGTGAGGTCTGTTGGAACTAGGGAAAAGGGTTTATATATCTGTGGAATGACCAGGGTGGGACAAAGGACTCTTGTCTGCTGGAGCTAGGTGTGAATGTTTCAACTGACCACCTTGATTAGCATATAATGGCCTGACAGTGCATGGAGCAAGAGAGAATGCCTCAAGACCATGGCCATATAGCCCGAAAAAACCTACAACAACCCAGTGATTCCGGCCATGAAAGCCGTCGACAATGACTTGAATATAGTTTGTATTAATATCATTTGCACTGATGCTCATGTGATGCACTCTCAATAGGACAAGGTTGGGTCACTGCAGTCAACCAGATATTTTGGACTATAGCTCACATAATCCTTCAACGCTGGCTATGCTGGCTAGAATGGAGATTTAGGCCAAAATAGATGGAGGTTCATGGTTATCCATTCCTGAGATAGGAAATGAGGTTGAGGAAGAGAAACAGCCTGTTCTCATACACATGGTTAAAAAGATAAGCCTGACTAAATAGAATTGTGCCTTCAGCTCAACCAGTACGCTGAAAGATAAGAAGCGGAAAGGGGGACTCAAATAATTTCCAACTTATCTGGTTTCAATTTATTTCATATATCAATGCAACTTGTAAAGCAAGTAGACCTCCACCCACACAGAGGAATCTGTGGAAGGATGTTCTTAGTGGATGGTATGTAGAAACTGTACTCTACATGGGAAGGTGGGAGGGAGAATAACCAGCAAAATTGGGGAAAACAGTTTTCCCTCTTCAACTCTCCCCTGTACAATGGACTATCCTTCTCTTTCTAGCGCCCCTTTTTGGCCTCTGCCCAGATACTGACACTCGCCTGTGTCAAAAAAGGCAAAAGTAATGGACCTGGGAAATAAGAATCACTGAACAGACTAATTCTCTCTCCCCCCCCCACCCAGCTTTTCAGTCCTTTTATTAATATCTTTTGCCTATCTAATGTGATTTCAGCATCATTGTTTTCAACATTGATGGATCAAATCAATTTAAAAACAAAGACCCCCCCCCCAATGGTTGAAAGACCATCATTTAAAAATTCAGTGCACTTCTATATTGTGAAAACACTCTTGAGGTTCACAGTATCAACTGGAATCCTCTAGGGCAGTTATGAAACATGATTTAGAGTTTAATGGGTGTTTTGCATTCACAAGTTCTATGTAGATCCTTGTTTGGAGCTATGTAGGGACTACAAAATTCCTCCATTCTCCACTTACTGGGAAGCAGGCACTATGATTAATGGGATGGGGGTCTGTTCTCCAGTCAATCAAAAAGCAGTTGGTTGATAGCCCTATAGTCCTATCCCTCTCATCAGGCATGTAGCCGGGGGGGGGGCTTGGGGGGCTTCAGCCCCCCCCCCCCCAAATTTTCATGGTGGTCTGCAAAAAGGCCTTACTGGTACATTATTTAAACTGTTATGTTTATTCATATCATGATCTGATCACCATGCGCAATATATCCCATATGCATGGGGGTATTGGGGTAACAATACAAAAGGTTTGCTAGGGTAGACCCTCTTTCACTCAGACTCAGCTCCCCCCCCCGAACTCAGCCCCCCCCCCCCGAATCAAAATCCTGGCTACGGGCCTGCCTCTCATAGTAGCAATCCACAGTGCAAGGGCGGAGGGATTGTGATAGTTGTCCTGCCTCTGCTTGCCAGACCAGAAATTACTCACATGAGGCAGTAAAATCATCAATCAGGGTAATAAGGGAACAAAGCCCTGTTGATTGTAGCAGCTACATCCTAATAAGTAAGGATTGGAAAGAAGTAGGGGGGTCTAGGATTGACTGCATAGCACTGCAACAATGGTGTTTACACATACATTATTTCCATGCAGGATTGTGGCACTGAGGAAGAACTAAAAGAGAATTTACTGTCATCTACCCGCCTAAACACATCTCCCAATGCAATGTTATAGTTACTAATAAAAAAGTCAAAAATATTCTCTCTAACATTCATATATTGTGAGTAATATGAAGTAAAATTGTCATGATTACCGGCAGAGCAGAACATATTCCTAGGAGACTGGAGACAAGCATCCATTGTTTCATATTTGTGATGCAGCTGAGCAGAAGAGAAGTACCTAGAAATAATTTGAGAGAATGTCAAGTTCCTGGAAATGCAATATAATGAACAGTGAAATGGTGGCATGGTCAATACAAATAATATACTTAAACAAACAATTCCACTGGCATATTTTGTGGCTTGGCCAATTCCTACTGTATTGTAGCCTACTATTTTGCAATATTAATCATCAAGGAGTATCTTGCCAAATTTGTCCTTAATGTCCTTCCACAGAAATAGAGAGCTTTTTCTTTAAAAAAAATTAAATGTCATTCCAATAAATCCAGAGCTATGGGTGTCAGGGATGTAATAATTAAAACATCGATGTAAGGCATTCACCATATTGCACTTTTGTTTTTCAATTATTTCTCAGAGGTAGATTGTCAAAGAGAAATGCAACTGACATTATGCAATGTTTAGCAATTTAAGGGTGTACAAAATGTTTCACGTGTACTATCTAGTTGTAGTCCTTTCCACAAGCATCCTGTAAGACATAGTTTTCAAAACTGTGTATTGCAACATGTTAGTATGTCAGCTGCAATGTGTAAGAGTGCCACACAAACACAACAAGAAACCTCTAAGTCTATATGAAATAAGCAATACAATTTACATGTATTTTTATGCAGCAAAGTTGAAAATTAGTATGATGCCTTTCTGCCATATCTATGTATGGCAGAAAGGCCATACATAGATATGGTTGGGGGATCATACAGGCACTACAAAGCATGCATGATTAAGTGGGGGAAAACTGATTACATATCACTTGAAGTAAAACTGAATTACTGTGTCATGAAATGATGCATGTCTAAATAGAGCAGTGGTTCTCAACCTGGGGTCCCCAGATGTTTTTGGCCTTCAACTCCCAGAAATCCTAACAGCTGGTAAACTGGCTGGGATTTCTGGGAGTTGTAAGCCAAAACACCTGGGGACCCACAGTTGAGAACCACTGAAAAAGAGTGTCATCAACCTGAAGTATTTGGAAAGCTCTGCTGTAATATTAAGTCACTATTAAGTCACTATTAATATTCACTATACTTTCTTGTCTCCATAGCCATAGATTTTGTATCAACAGATTTAGCTACTCAAGACTTGAAAATAAAAATTCCTCAAAGCAAAACTTGATTTTGTCATTTTATATAGGAGTGACCATATTATCACACCATTGTATGTAATGGACTTTGAGCATCTATGGATGTTGGAATCCATGGGATTCCTGAAATCAGTCCCAGCAGATACTGTACTGATAACGCATAGCAACTTCTACACAGGAAGCAAAAGTATAGGCTCAAAACCTCACATGAAGAAAGAAGGAGGTGACATGAATAGAATTAAAAAAACATTAAAGTGAGACTAACAATTTTCATATGTCTACACAGCAAAGCTGGCTTACCACAATTTGAAACCAATATTCCTCTTCCACTGCTGCTGGTTGCTCCCATGTTAGAGGGGCAAGGCATCTAACCAAGTTTTTAATGTGAACCTAAAGGAACTACCCAAGCTGCTTAACCAGTTTTGGAAATAAAGTTTAGCACTTTGGACAGATCATTTAAAGTTCAAATTAAAACCCAACTTGGATTTACCACCAGACTGAGTCCAAAGCCACCACTGTCAAAAGTGGAGAAATCCTGACCAGAAAAGCCACCTTCTTAGCTCTTGCAGATCCTCCTGCTTTCATATGGTGTGGACTAAAACTAATCAGCAGTATGAAAATCCCCAAACTACAAAAATATAGTGATTCTTTTACCTCCAAGATAATGAGGTTTCTCACAACAACCTCATTGGAGTAGATGATAACACATTTTCTAAAAAAAGACATTTGAAGACATCTTTATTTACCATGGGAAAGTGTTGTTTTAAATATCCCAGGATTGACAGTACTAAATAACTTTTTAAATCTTGTTTAAAAAATTAAATATGGAGTCTTTAAAAAAAAACAATAAGAGGAAAGAACATTTCCACACCTTGATGTCACCAGCCTGCCTTTACAGAAGAATACAGACCTCATCATATTAAATAAAAAGTCTTGGAACTGTGACACAATCTGGGGCCATTGAGAGCTTTTTCACATCAATATCCTTCATTTAAGGAAGGTAGTGAACCGGCAATGGATATTCCATAATGTTGTGTAATAGTAATCATCACAAAATGTGACATTCCTGCTTCTATGCTAGTTTGCCATCCCCATACGATAAAGTTCATAGAGATGCCAAGAACGTAGCCTGGGCCCTATTTGGTCAAAATATGATCTCTGAGTTGTAGTTCTTAAAACCTAGCTTCTTGTCAAGGAGCTCCACCCATAACAAATTTATAGACTTAAACTGTCTTGACAGCAATAAGTAGTAGTAGTAGTAGTAGTAGTAGCGGTAGTAGCAGTAGTAGTTGCCATCATAATTTGTCAATCACACCTTTAAAGAGTAATACTAACATTAGAATCTACCCAAAACAAATTCCCCAAATGCTGAGTGGCATTATTTCAATATTGATTGAGATTATTGATTAAATTGATTTTCCTGCAGCTCCTTCAATGGAATCATAGGAGATATGGTAGTGCCTATTTGAACAGAATATCTAAAGTAACCTGAGAGATGGTAAAAATATTTTTCAAGGATCAACCCAGATTTCTCAAGGATCAAGACCCAATGGTCAGCATGGGAAGTGGCCATGCTGATTGGAAGGGTGTTCTGGGAATGGTAGTCCAAAAATACCTTTTCCACATTCGTACATTGGAAGATGTAATTTTATCACTTTAAACGAAACACATTCATTATAGGAGACCAAAAGAACACTTACCTTCACACAATTGAATGTTCTTTCCCCAAACTTATCAGGAGAACTTAAAAAGTCTTTACAGTGGAAAGGTTTCACATCAATGGCTCAGGAACCTCTCTCTCTCTAGTTCTCTTACTCACTTTCTCTCTAGAATATAACCTTATTTAAATGTCTGCCTAACCAATCAACATGAAGCAAGAGGGCTGAGGAATTATAGCCTTCCTGCTTGATCCCACCAACCCCTTTTTTCACCCACAACTCAAAGTCATAACAGCTCATTATTTATAATTGCATCTTCAGGTCTGTATTTATAACAATCACTTTCTACCCCTTTAGAAAATGAGCACAAAATGGGATATGGAACAGAAAAACAACAAAATAAAGCTGATTTGTGATCCCAGTCACCAGCATGTTCACCTCTGCTTTACCTCCCATCCACTTTCAGCAGAGACTTAGGGTGCACCTACACTATAGAATTAGTGCAGTCTGATACCATTTTGACTGCCATGACTCAAGGCTATGGAATTCTTGGAGCTGCAGTTTTACAAAATCTTTCCTTGGGTTGTTGTAGGTTTTTTCGGGCTATATGGCCATGGTCTAGAGGCATTCTCTCCTGATGTTTTGCCTGCATCTATGGCAAGCATCCTCAGAGGTAGTGAGGCAGATGCAGGCGAAACATCAGGAGAGAATGCCTCTAGACCAGGGGTAGGGAACCTTTGGCCCTCCAGCTGTGGTGGACTTCAACTCCCACAATTCCTTGAGGCTCGGCATTGGGCCAAGGTAAGCCTTTGGGGCGAATGCCGAGCCTCAAGGAATTGTGGGAGTTGAAGTCCACCACAGCTGGAGGGCCAAAGGTTCCCTACCCCTGCTCTAGACCATGGCCATATAGCCCGAAAAAACCTACAACAACCCAGTGATTCTGGCCATGAAAGCTTCCAACAATAAATCTTTCTTTCTTTGTCAAAGAGTATTTTTGCTCACTAAACTACAGTTCTCATAATTCCATATCACTGAGCTATGGCAGTTAAAATGGTATCAAACCGCATAAGTGGATGAAGTTCCACATCACAAGTCTGGATACTGACAATATGTTTGCTTTGATTTTTAGTGACATGCAAGTTTTGCCCTTAGTAACCTGTTACATTTTGCTCATACTTTCAGGACATCATATTTTGAACTTGCTTATGTGAATTGGTCCCATTACTCAAATGGTCATTCCCAAATCCTGCATTTTCTTTGGATCCTACACAATCATTTGAACTGTCAAAAACTCATAAAATGGAACCAACAGCATGCTGATTTTTATTGAAACGACAACCCCATATTTTCCTCTGTGCAAATATGGTTGTATTGTGTCCATTTTGATAAAAGCTCACTGGAACACATCTAAAGCTAAGATGAAGGTGATATAAGGGGAGATTGAAGTCATCTCTATACTCAGAATAGATCGTTGTATGCAAATGAGCATTGGCTAAATTTCTTGTCAATAGAAGTAACAAATGAAACTAAAGAAGAACTAGTAAATTTCTTGGAAATATAATTAGAAAATATGTACCCCACACATTCTGAATGCCCATCTCAAGAAAAGCTATTTAGAGCTTTATATTCCTTTCAAGCATACCCTTGTGTTGTAAATGAAATTACAACAATAAAGCTGTCTTTGTTTCTTACTATGGCACTATTTTTTCTTTCACTGAGCTTTTTCCTTGAACTTGAAGGAGAGGACAAAACTAGCAGTCAGGCATTTGACTTCCACTGTGATGTGATTTGCTTTGCTTTCATATGTTAAATTGTCAGCTCGAGGCAAAATTACTTTGTCGCATAGCCAGATTCTCTGGGGGAAAAATTGAAAGTGCCTAAAGATTTTGAGAATTGAATTCCCGAGAAGGTCAATGGAAATGGTATTATCTAAGTACTCAAGGTCTGTCTGAATATAGCAAAAAAAATCACAGAAAGCTCAGCTTCATCTCTCTCCACCAACTAGGGCTGCCAGGTCAACATCACTGCAGTCCCTAATATTTCAGAGTTGAAACTTTGGACAGGGGACAAGTCCTTGTGATGTCATGGGGTGAAGACTTCTGATGCCAAAATAATGGTCAGGGTTGTGAATGGGCTAGAACTGCTTCTGGGCCAGGCAAGAGAGCCAACATGGTTTAGTGATTTGAGCATTGGACTAATCGCACAAACCCCCTAATCTACTCCAGCTTTGTTATTGTTTATAGCAGATATACATTGTTGAGGACCCT